GATTTTCTAATTGTAACAAAATTTCAGACAACATTTGTCAAGCCTTTGATGCATTATCCAATGTTCTGAAAAGTTTATTTTGAAAATCAAGCAATGTATGGTCAGCTTGGGGTTTGCTGGTGGTGGGAGTCTGTTTTCCTAGGCTGGCCTAGGAAATCCTATTATTTAGGAAATCCTATTATTTATACAGAGTCGTAGCAGGGGTGAGGCGAGTGAGGCACTCGCCTCAGGCACAGCTGCGAGGGGGCACAGCCAGGGCCGGTCCTGGACCTGCTGCCCAGCAAGGGTAAGAGGTGGGCAGGTGCTTTGGGATTTGGATGCAGTGCTGATCGCCTCACATTACCATCTCACTCATGCCCAGCTCTGCCGCTTATTGGCTGGATCCCAGGTGTGGGGGGAGTTGAGAGCGGCTGCCGTGCTTATCGCCTCAGTTTACCATAGAGGTGACCAGCGGACACACATGCATCGCCGCTGTGTATTGGTTGGTTCCATGGAGGGGAGGAGCTGATTGCTTTACTTATTGGCTGATGCACGGCGCTCCCAGTCAGCAATTGGCTGTCAGCTAATGCTGCTTAAAGCCAGCTGAAAACTCTGTGCACCAGCCAATGAAGCACCACACCATTGGCCCACACATAACCACTCCCTCTACACCCCACACGTGGAGCTAAAATGTGCTTAGAGATGGCAAGGAAGTCTTGGGAATGAAGGAGACCTAGGAATTAACTAACAATGTGATTGGGAGTATTTTCTGATATAACCTGTTCTAACCCATCATGAAGTAAGCAATTGGTATCCTGTACGTGTAGTTAGCCCTTAAATTCAGGGAATTTTCTTGATGTAAGATATATAAGTACAAATGCATTGATTTGGATCACAAGAGGAACGTTAATTCTAACGCATTGGGAGTATTTTCTGGCATAACCTGCTCTATCCCCATCACTCCTTAAAAAATCCCTTTTACTTATCTTTGCTCTGTCCCCATCTTCAAATGATCTCTGCTCTGTCCCCATCACCCCCTTAAAAATCTCCTTTTCTCCCCTTCTCTGTACCTATAACCTAATGCCCCCATGCTCTGTACCCATCACCCCTTAAAAATCACTTATACTGCCCTGCGCTGTCCTTATCCCTACATGTCCCCATGCTCTGTCATCATCCCTTAAAAATCAATTATACTCCCCTGTGCTGTCCCTATCACCCTATGTCCCCATACTCTGTTCCCATCACCTAATAAAAATCCCTTCTACTCCTCTGCTCTGTCCCTATCATCCCATAAACAGTTCTAATATAATTGATTTCCTTGCTATTTATTTACTTTCCTCAAAATAACCTAGGAGGGGGGGGGGGGGGACACAATTTTCTGTTCTTGCCTCGGGTGGAAAAGGAGCTAATTTATAACCGGATTAAAGGGGCTGTTTATAACCCTTTGACCTGAAGTATATACTATGCAACTACATTACTACACAGTCTGAGTTAAAGAGAATTGTTTTGCAAGCCTTTCTTGTCTTACTTTGGATGTTGATTTTCTCTTGTAGAAGTTATTTTAAATTCACAAGAATTATCTTACAAAATGTATATTTCAAAAGTCTACCAGTGTACCTGCTCGACATAACTCGGGACATTATTTAATGGCCTGAGCCCCACATTTCTCATTTAAGCAGTTCCCACAAAATACCTGACTGCCAGAGGTGTTTTGCCTCACCTCCACCTTGCCATGTCTTTTTATTGTTTACAGCATATGATGAACTGTACTCTAAAAAAGCAATGTGTTCAACCAAAAGCGGTTATGAACCTAGTGCAGCTATGAACAAGGGTCGGAGAATTAAATAGTAATATAAATCGATTTTATTAGTAAAAACATATGCTTATACACAAAGCGAATGCGCAGCTCGAACCCACCACCTATACAATCAATATAAAAAAGATTATTGCAACAATCCACACATACATGCCACAACCCAGACACACAGAGAGCTAGCTGATCAGCGTAATTAGTTTCATCTGGTGGTCCTCAGATTTAGGAAAAGGGAGCAACAAAGTATATATACGGTTTCGGATGGAAAAGAAAAAATTATATGTTCAATAGATAATGTGGGCTGCCCAGCTTTCCTCGAAAGCAAATGACTTGAAATTTTGATTTAATTTATTCGATGTTCTTATCTTTAAGTGGAGGAGGTGTTCATTTATTATTCGTTTTAGCTTGATTGCAGAGTTTCAAGCGAGGTATAGCCAGATATGAAATATAAGACCCGGTAGTCATATATACGGAATGCCGCTGAGTTGTGGCCACACTTGGGGATTATACCACCAATCTATCTGTAGTAGTCTTAAACTCGAGTAAATATATACTCACAGCTCCTTGTTGCTTCGACCGGTCAGTTTGTATCTTTGGGCTATTATTCACTTGGATTTTTGATTAGTGTTCTTTTTCTTCATAACCGAGCATCCGATATTTCAAGTAGTCCACAGGATAAGACCTCCTATACTCTCCTATACTCTCCTCCAATTTAGGCAGTCCCAATAGTTTTTGGTTTTAAAAGATTTCCGATCCGATATGAAGTCCTTTTTGCTCCTGCTAATAAAATTATACACACAGGCTGATCAGATGCTTGACTCTCAGGAAGTCAATTGAACTAGCATCCCTTCATCGGATGACGCGTTTCGCCCCTCCTACAATCCCGGGGCTTCGTCAGATCCTGAAAGTTAGTTGAGTCACGAGGCTTTTATTTGATTCCTCATGGGTTATCATATCATTAACTTATTCGATGCCATGAATGGATTGCCTGCTTGCAGAATTAGTTTCCAAATGTATTGCCATTAAAAAAGAGGAAGGGCGGGGGGGCAAAGAGCCCTACATAATGAAGAGTATTGTGAAACATTTATAATGGTATAATATTTGGTCATTATTGACCATTACAGGGTGTGGAACTCTAGGTACACCATTTCACCCTGAACTGTACTCTAAGCCTGCCTTTCTCAACCAGTGTGCCGTGGCACCCTGGGGTGCCTTTTGGCTTCCTCAGGGGTGCTTCTAAATTTTCTTACAGCATATGCCTGTCCATGGTGCAGACAGGTTGGCCACCAGTACCATAGAAAATAATAACTCTAATCTAGGGAGGGTGGGATCCATTCAATAGATAGAAGTTAACCTCCGTCAAGGCCCACTCCACCTCCCACCCTCTGTCTTGCTGCCACAGCTTCAGCTCCTGGTGTGGTGGCAGGACTCTGATGGGAGCTTCTGATGTACAGGGGCGGCTTGTAATGTGAAGGGGGGACTCTGATGTGAAAGAAAGAGGCAAAAGAAGCACTTAATCCTTGCAGTGAAGGGGTAGCCCATGGTTTTACGTCATTTTCAGGCCTAAAATGTGGAATATAACATGGGTGCAAAAATGGAAAAAAGGGCCTCAGTCATGAAGGGTTTAAGATTTTTTTAAACCACTGTAAGTTTAATTATGGTTGTCTGTGTCTTTTTGCTGTTTGTGTCTCACTGGAGATATTTACTTTCACTTCCTATCCCATAGAAAATCAGGAAGTTAGAGAAAATCTATACAAGGTGAGGGGAATGTCCCTCTTTGTTACTACTGGAAAAAGTGTCCCTATTGGAAGATTTACCCTTGCATCTAGTTCTCTAGTTCTGATGACAACTCTAAAATTTTACATTTTACATCACTTTCTATATTGATGAGAATGGTCATACTAGAATCTACCTAGTGGGGACACAGACAATAAAAAACAAAAGGGGGGGGGGGGGGAGTCTAATCCTTTCCTACTCTTTCAAAAACTAAGAAAAAGAAGTTGGGGTTATACATACACTTTATGGTGGTTGCTGTGGTTCCTCCTGCCAAGCTGTACATCACTCTAGGCCAGGGGTGGGCAATTCCGGTCCTTCAGCTGTGCTTTAGAGAACTATGGGGTTAAGGCTTTTCCCCATAGTTCTCCTTAGGGTAATGGGAGGACACAAACTAGCGTCCTCCCGTCACCCTAGGCTCAGTATACCGCAAGCTGTAGTTCGCGGTATACTGAGACGCCGCACCTGAAGCGGATCCCGACAATTATGCCGGGATCCGCCCAGCTGCGCGACTGACAGCTGGCTCTGCCTATCTAGAGGCAGAGCTAGCTGTACCCGCCCCCTCCCCCGTCTGCTCCGCCAGTCAGCGCTGGCGGATCAGAGCGGGGAGGGGGGAATCCAGCCCCTCCCCTGTCACAGCAGAGAGCAGTGACAGGATCAAGAGGTGAGCTCACCTCCCGATCTACTGAGCCGACCTGTGACAGTCTCATTGTCACAGGTCGGCTAGAACTATGAGGTGAGTGAAAAGCACTCACCTCATAGTTCTCCTTTAACTACAAATCTCAACACTCCCAGAGAGAGTCATGCCTGTAACTGTCAGTCTTGCAATGCCTCATGGGACTTGTAGTTTCACAACAGCTGGAGTTGCCCACCCCTGCTCTGGGCCACAATAGTCACATTTGGGTTGGCAGGAGAAACCACCAGGGGCAGCAAGGGGACACATTGTGCCATACTCCAGGAAGTGTCAGATAGTAGCGGCACTCAGAACAGAGCAATGTCTTAACACACCAGGAAGAGGGGCATTCTTCCTTCTCTTGCAGAGTACTTTATGTTTATTTTCATCACCTAAGAAACTGGGTTGCCATATCCTGCAATGCAACAGTATAAAAGCCTGTGTCAGTAGGCTTTGGGCTTGTGTTGACGGCAGTTTTGAAAAGCTGTTGCGATCATTCAGAATTCATTGACAGGTTCATTTGACCTGCCACTGACCTGCTTCAAGGGGGGTTTTGCACTCCCATAGGAATGCAAAATTTGCTTGAAGCAAACAAAATCCCAACACAGAATATATCCATTTATAACCCGTATAGGGCTATTTTATCGACCATCCCTGTCCCAGAGTCCGTGGAAACCATGCAGTGACTACAGCTCATCCCGAACCTGCACAACCCACATAACTGCCTTCCCCGTAGCCACAAGGCAGCAGGTGGGTCACATGACTCTGTGATGTAGAGCACTCCCTAAGGGGCGGAACCAATGCGCTCTGGCCCAGGTAGGATGGTTTTCCATGTGACACCCGCGCCTGGTAACCGGTGCCGCGTTGCTAAGGAGAGGAGAAGAAGACGGCGGAGGATGGGCTAGCCCGGGGCCACCGTGTACTGTGCGGGGTAACACTTTTCATTCTTCCACCATTGGCTGCAGCAGGCACACGACTAGCACCTCGGTCCTTTGTAATTGCCGCTGTCTGTGCGCCGTTATCATGATAGTGCTCGCTGTTACATTCCATTTATTCTCGCCGCCATCCCATCAATTACATCTGGAGACTATTATTATTATTATAGTATGTGCTGATGATATAGTACACATGTCTCTGGAATGGTGGTGATGCCCTTGTCGTTGTTATTTATTATTGCATTCTGCATATTGCTCATGTGTTTGCAAATGATAATGATACAAAACAACAAATCAGTCATCATTCATTCAATTCCCTATTGTCATGTTCTGAAGAGTCATATTATAGAACATGGGTGACTTTTCATTTCATGACTAGAAATAAAAGTGAGTGATTGCCAATGCCATGCCATCATTTGCATGTGTCTGCTATTTCTGTTCATGGTTCACGCACACTGGGTCATCTTCTGTTCCCTAAGGCCTCATTCACACGGGTGGTAAAACCAGGCGGATGATCTGCCATTTTATTGACCCCTCTCCCCCCCCACGGTCGCCTGCTGCGATGTCACCACTGTGACAGAACATGGGTGCAATGCTTTGTGTCATGACATGTCAAAAAATATACAGCATGTCGCATTTGTCGGGCAGTGCTGCTTGTCAAATGCGACCAATGCAATGAATGGGACTGAGCCGCAACCATGTGTGTAAACTGTTGCAACATGGTAAGGCAACAGAAAATCCCCACAGGGATCCCTTTTTTCCCCAACTATTTATCACTTATTACTTGTTTAACCGATCATTAAATCTTTAGGTTTATTTTTGTACGCCTATATTTTGTGTGTAACATGAAACATGGTCACATCACTTACCTAAATCACAGGGTTCTTCACCCCACAGGCTCCTGTCATACTTCGAATTCATGGGATTTGTGGATGGATGACGCAACTGTGCTGGTGGAGCCACACACAACTGTGTCATCCTTTCATAGATCCTTTGCAAGGGTCTGTAACTGTAGAGACTACAAAACCCATCTGCCACTGACTGTAGCAGAGGAACTTGTATTTCTCAGCGGAGTGACATCAGCACACTTGTAGCCCATTGACACTTCCTACTGTCCTCTAAATGAAAGTCTGTACTTCGGTATGGATGTGGGAGTAGAGGAAGAGTCTGCAGGAGCCAGAGCATTGCACCCGCAACTCGCTGATCACATGTATTATTATTATACAGGATTTATATAGTGCCAACAGTTTGCACAGCACTTTACAGTTACAATGCAAATCAAGACAAGATGGTAAGAAGGTCTCTGCCCATGAAAGCTTGCAATCTAAATGGGAGGGGCAAGTGATATATGAGGAGGTAGCTGTGTGGGGATGAATTGTTTGAGAACGGGATAGTTCAATGGTTAGTTTAAGGAGGGATAGGCTTCCCTGAAGAGATGAGTTCTTAGGGGTCTCTTAAAGGCAGACAGAGTAGAACAGGGGTAGCCAAACTGCAGCCCTCCAGCTGTGGTGAAACTAAAAATCCCATGATGCATCTCTCTCTGGTAGTCATGTCTGTGGCTGTGAAAATCTTGCAATGCCTCATGGGATTTGTAGTTCCACCACAGCCGGAGGGCCGGAGTTTGGCTACCCCTGGAGTAGAGGATAGAAAGACAGGTTGGGGTAAGGAGTTCCAAAGGATGGGAGAGACTCTAGAGAAGTCCTGGAAGTCCAGTTGCAATGCTTTACTGGCCCCAATGCCCACAAATAACAAATTCACATTTTTTCTTCTTTTATGAACGTGTGTGCGTTTATTACCTTTTGTTAAAGATGGACTTTGCCTTTAATAATAAATAATTATAAGCAATATCTATAGTTATTTCTTCATGTTATAGGTGGAACCTAGTGGTCTGAGTCGGCTCCTGACTATGCCATGCATACTTGGACAGTGAAACTTTCTGCCATAAATCCTAAATCTAGTTTTCAGTACTCCTGCCCACCTTTGTGTGTTCCAGCTCCTCCTGTTACATTCTCCATAATATAAAATACATTTAAAAATCCAGCAGGAAGCGTGGAAATCCCTTATAATGTGCACATCAGGTAGGCAGACCTGGGAACTTTGCATAGAGATCTAACTAATAGAGTCTACGGGGAATAGAAGAAACTGACAGTTAAACCGGCATCCACCTAACACTGAAATATCAGTTCTGGATGAATGGGCCCTTTATTATGTCACTTCCCTCTGCTGGGGTGACAGTATATAATTATTATCAGGCTGTCCTGAGCCCTTCCCCTCCCCATATGAAGGTTAATAGACTAAGAAGCTTTCTGGTGGTGTCATGTCAATCAGACTGACGCTGCTGAGTGCTGATCCTAATGGGATTTGGTTGGCTGTCTCCCGTAGCTACATAATGCCGGCCATCAGAAATGGTGAGCGAATACAGCTTTCTCATTTAAATCTGCCTTCTTTTTTTCTTGTTCCATTGCTTCTGCGTCGAGTTCAGACCCCATTTCATCAGATTTGAGTGCAGAGATCATTCCGGGATCCTGTCAGTGCATGAAATGGGTTTATTTATATGCACTGTAATCTTCTAAGACTCTAAAGTGGATTGTAAAGCATCCGTTCCTAATGAGTCACGGTGTAATTTCCGCCCATCTTACATCCCTGAAATGCTGTGGCTTGTGAACTATGTACTGTATACTTTATATACATTGACCTATCGCTGTTCTAGAAAAGCTTTTCTGCATTTATTATTAGTGGCTAGGAATATACAATCGTTATTTATTACAAGTGTATGAAACCCAAATTGTCTGCGTTGACAGATACATTCTTCCTTTAGCATCCCAGCTGGCTGTTTCCTGTATAGACTTAAATATATGATTGGTTGCTATAGTTTAACCAAGACAGTTTTTATTTGAGATATTGTGATAAATCAAAGTGTAGGTCAGTCTACTAACAGGTTGTGTTTATTTCACCCGAAATTAAGTGGCTCCGTGTGTGAGGTTACAAATATATTTCTAGGGATTTGCAACTCTGCCTCCATAAACATACCTGACCTCTGTCTGAATGTACAGAGTCAGATTTTGATGTGTAATATCCACAGAGATATCATTGCAGCAGCCTGACTGGTTAGGCCCTCACACTGCACAGGTGCTGGCAAATGTAAATATGACAGATACAAATCTAAGGGTCTGATTTATTACACGTTCACACAGCGTATTGCTGTGCAAAAAAAGTTTGCAGCTCATTAATGCCAGTAGATGGAGCCGAGGAGCATAGGAATTCTCCTTGGCTCCATCTAGTGGCAGAAATGCGTGGTTATATGCTGGGTGAACACCTCTTAGTGTGTGGCCAGGTTCAGGCTGAGAACCCCAATGTGCCCTCAGTACATAACCTAATAATATTAGAGCTGTAGGATGCCTCTGCTGTTTCAACAATTAGCATTTTCCTCATAATGCAATGTTTCATTGTGAGCATGCTTATTGACCGGTGAGCCATGCATTGCTAAGGCAGAGAAAGGTTTCATGGCTTATTTACCAGAGAAAAAAATCTTGATGACAAAATCATGTCTCAAAGGACATTTGCTGACCGTGAGAACTTTTTACAGACAGAAAATATAAGTGATAGAGGAAAAATGACAGAAGTGAGGGTGCCAGTAGTAATGTCGTAATGCTGCAATTATCATTGACAATGGCTCTAATGTAGCAGAATTCTGATCTGATATTTCTTTGATGATAGGACTCTGCACAGAATTCCTGATGTCCGGTACTTTAAAGGTCCTCTTGCCCTGCTTCTTCCTTCTCCCCTCCTGGAAATATGGGAAAATTCCAGAGTAAAGTCAAACGCAACAGCTCGAAATACAGGTAAAATGTCAGGTTCAGCTGCTCACCCTTTAGCAGTGTTTGTCAGCCCTTAAGGTATAGTGTGCCTCCCATGCGGCCCTTGACATCACCAAAGGGCTGACCATAATGTTCAGTATATGTCATGCTAGAGAGAATTATCAGAGACTACAGATATACACGAGCATGGATGTGGACATGCTGTGGGTGTACAGCGAGAGATTGGGGACTGTCCTCTAGAGACTGATCACCGCTATTACCCATTTACAAATCAATGCTCCCACTACTGACTTTTGGGATCCAAGTGCCACAGTTTAAAATATCTAAAGCCCAGTTTTTTGTTTTTTTTTGGATGGAGCAGAGAAGGTTTAAACCCCATCAGGTGTATCTTGTCGTCTTTGTCCTCTTTGGGAAATTTCTGTTCGCTTCCTGTCCCAGAGACACAACAAAAAGCAAGAGGAAATCTCTCCAAAGTGATAGGAATTCCTTTTTTACAAAGTTGTCACCAGGACAGATTTCCCTCACCTCCTTTTTTGGTGACAACTATAACATTTTGGATCAGATCACCAGGACAAATAGAGAGGATAAATGGTTCTAACCCTTCCCCATCCTCCCCAAACTAAAAAAGAAAACTGACTTACAGTACATATACTTTAATGTAAAACTTAAGAATTTCTAATAGTGAAATCATTTTCTGGTTAATTGTAACATTTTGCATTCAGGGCTGACCACCATGCAGAGGAGACTCCTCCAGCCCAGCCAATCACACAGCAAACCCGAGTTCACAATGATGGCGTTACTTACATCTCGGCCCTGAAATCCGACCTGTGCGTATCGGGAGGGAAGGACAAGGTAAGTGCTAATTGTGTGGTCACGGACCTGTGGATACATTACCTGCACTGTGATATAGGCTACTCTGTAATTAAAGCACAGGGGGTTAGGTTTCTGCTTGCCTACAAGTATGCAATTGCATGTACTGCACAGACTGACAGGATTTCACACTCCTTCTGAGCTGAATAAATGGAGAGTGTGTTTACACTGAACACCAGGCATACATTAAAGCCCAACTCTTGGCTCCACTCCTAGTACACCCCACATTCCTTCCTGAAGGCCCCCCAGAGTATATTTTTTTAATTTTTGTCTTTATTCTAATTTTTTCCAGATGTCTTCAAGCCATTGACATAGTGAGCAAGGTTTTTTTTGCCTCTTCCATGGTGCTTGGTGGTCCTCTGGGATGCAGAGAGCAGGACTGACTTAATGATGTTAGCATTGTTCTCTGCATCCACGTTAAGGTCCCATCAGGGGGCAGGTCCATGATGCCATGCAGTCCCAGTATGCCCTCAGTCTTCCAGGATAAATGACCTAGGGTGTCATTCAACCCAACACATTTTGTGTCAGAAAGGAATTCCTGAGCTGAGTAATTCAACCAAAGCTCCTGGGGAACCTTTAAAAAAATAAATAACCTGAAGTTGGACATTTGGAAAAAAAAAATTGTATTTATTGAAGCTCATCTCTGGGCAAACCAAAAAAAAAGTACCTTTGAAGTGGTCTGCTAGACTGGTCCACACTACCTTTTCTCTTCTGGGCTCCGTGGACCTGATTAGATGTGAGGATGCCGAGGGACATGTCACAGCAGGAGTGGAGAAGAGCAGAGTGCTGACTGCTAGGGGAAAGCGAAACTGCAAATATGCTTTCACGAACATGCTGCTGCCCTTTCTTTCTTCATTTACAAGCTAGCCGCAGGTTATAGACCAGACACTGTATTATCATGGCAATACTACCTGCACCAAGTTATCAGCACTAAACGACTATACTGAATGCTAACATATAGTTAAATAAGGCTGCAAAGTGCTTAACCATTGCATGTAAAAATTAGTAGTAACAGATAAGAGTCAGATACATGCAGATAATAAAGAACGGTGATGACAATCTTGCCTTTCACATATATTCAGGCAGTTGTTGTGTCAAATTGGAGAACTGGAGCGGCTCTGAAAAGATTTGTGGGGCATGATCGAGAGGTTTCCAAGGTAATATATATATATATATGTGTGTGTGTGCTCTCATGCATTTGTGTAAATATAAGGTGTACACATTACCAGGCCTCCATGTCATTTAATAACATCTGTCATCCATCTATAGATTTCCTGTGTGTTTGGGACAAACCGGTTCTTCAGCGCCTCACGGGACAAGACGGTTCTCATGTGGGATCTGCACTGCAAGGCCGGCAGTGCTCAGAAGTTTCTGGGGCATCATTTATTAGTGACCGGGCTGGCAGTAAGTCCTGGTGAGACTGCACTCTTTACCAAATTTATTTTCAATGGCAATAAAAAGCTGTTTTTTTTTAATGTAGACACTACTTTGGTACCTCCTGAGTAGTTAGAAGTACAGCTCCAGTTTCTTGAGGATTACCGATTTCAGTGTTCCCGATTTTCCCTATAGTGCCATCTGCTGGGAATATCTGACTTATCACTTATCAGAGCACTATAGTATCTGGTCACCTCACATTGCTCAAAAGCAGTTTTAAAAAAGCAAGAATTTTTTGAAAAAAAAATAATTTGCTTTTAAGGTCCCTAAAGTTTTGGCTAGAAATACACTTTATACCACCGAATGGTTTATCATGCCTCTCTCAGACTCCAAATTTTGAGACTTCTACATCTGAGTCTCCAGTCCAGTTATTTTACATAATAGAGAATGTAAAAGGTGGAGTAGGTACACTCCAAGGTGGGCTGGATTAAACAAACCTACAAGATAGGCAAATACAGGGCCAGGAATTCTGGTGGGGAGATTTTACTGCTGCAATGTGCAAAAGATAGAAGAATAAAAAAGAGACAGAAAGATAAATAATCCGGTAGTTGACTCCAAGGAGTGTATCAGATAGGAATCTGCAATTGTACCCTTTGTATTTTGTTAGTAAAAATTCTATTTAAGAGGTAGGAAGCTGTAATCCCTCTGCTTGCTGGTATTAGAGCACCTGTAGGTACTGAAAGTAACCAGCCATCTTGGTCTAATGTTAGCATGTAGAAATAGCAAAGCATTCTTACAGATCCCCAGAGACTGCAATGTAATAACCAATTACAACTCAAGTACAAGTTGGCTCAAATATGCCAACTGCAGCCCTCACGGGTGCTTGTCTGGCTTGTTACTGCTACACGTTGTTGCAGATAAAATCTTTTATTGAAGATTTAGCAGAACAACATCAGAAACACCTAAAATCCTTATGCATTTGCATTTCTCATTGCACATCACCCATAGATGACAGGGGAGACAGCTAGCTCAGGACAGTGAAAATGCAGTTTTTCAAGGACACATACGTTATGGTTAGAAGACAATATGCCCTGGAAACATTCTGCTTTCTTTGTTCCTGACATGCACTGATAGCACTGGGTATCTCACATAATTTGAGGATTGCATCAATTATGTCTTCTGATTATTTAAAAAATGCAATTGTGCCAGTAAAAGAAATAGTAATCCTCCAGAAGTAAAACAGCTGTGAGTTAGCAGTCTACCAATAATGGTCCTATTAGTGTAAATGCAGGGATCAGTGCCGAGATCTAGCACAGGACAAGCGGTGCCTCTTCTGTCTGATAGAATCTCCTCTTTTGTTTGCAGACTGCACCCAGCTACTGACAGGCTCCAGAGACAATACACTGTGTAAGTGGAATGTGGAGACCGGCCAGTGCCTGCTGAAGACTGCTGTGTCTAGAAACCTGGTGAGAGTAAATGTGTGTTTGGTGTTGGTGGGATGTAATTCACCACACTGTTACCTAAAGGGAATGTTATTGTGGATTTGTATACATTTTCTTTCTTTTTAGAGCTGGATCAGGCAGGTAAACACAAAATATTTCATAAGAATATTTTGTATTTTCACATGCAGCGAGCAGGTGGCACACCTTATGCAAGATTAGTCATACTTGCTTTGCTGAAAAAGATCAGAGCAGCCTGGGAGCCACAATACAGCACAACTGAATGAGCCAGATAGGTCTGATCCTTGCTCTGTATAGACTTTCACTTAGAGAGAGACAGTCTGAAAGCAAACAACCTCTTCTGTGATCTCTCTTTAGATGACCCATAACGCTCTGTGACACCAGTGCCAGAGGGGAACTCATTAAAAAAGTTTTTTTTTAAATACATTTCATATAAAGAGAAACAAAGCATATAAAAAAATCAGTTCAAAAAGGTATAAGCATAAAAATTAAATTGACCCAAAATCTAATGAGAGAATTTCTACCGTTGCATGGTTTTACTCTTTTGCAGGTATATAGAACAGGTGTTTTTGTGCTGAAGTCGGCCCTTACCCTCCTGCCTTGCATTAGTCTTCATTAATTTAAAATGTAAACTAAAGAAGACCCTGGCCTGTTCTTTGGATCATTAAAGTGAACCTGTACTTGGTAATGCATCAAGGATGGTTTGATGTAGAGTTAGATGTGACAGGCTCATCAGTCATTCACCATCTCCATCACCATGAATGAAACCAAGCCTTCACAACCTAATCTCTTTACAGTGGCCATATGCAAAAAAGAATTAAGCATAAAGCTTAATAGTCCTACAGTAATGGTTAAAAACATGCACCTTTGGCTGCAATACTTACCTCTCTGGTTCTGTCGAACCAGCACAAGATGATCTTCCAAAGCAATTCCAACTGTATTCCACTTGCATCTATGCAAAGAACAACCACAGCTTTGTAAAGATGCTATGACCACAGCTATTACAAAGGTTCTAAAGTTTTTGAGCCTATCATTCCAGAAGAAAGTCATCCGTGCACCGAGTGTGGATTGCAAAGACTCATGATAGGGGTGTGCTGTGCACTTTGTTTTTCTAGTCTCTGGTTCTGTCCCCTGCAGTAATACCTTTTCAATACTAGATGTCAATAGTCTTTGTGCCATTCAGCTTGGAAGACATACTGTGAGTGCAGGGCGTCAAAGACCTTCTCCCTAAGGGGGTATCATTGCAGCACCCTGAACTCAAAGAGTATTGATGCAATGAGCAGTGCTTATTGCTCACTGCATTATTAGGAACACTCCACCCACCTCCAAGAGAGGACCAGAAGAGGAAGAGGACCCTGGCACACGACTGTTCAGACATCTGACAAAATTAAGTATAAAAAAAGCAAAAATATAGCATTCATTCAAACAAACATATCTGTTAACTGAAACTAGTGTAAGTATGTAAGTTTACTTAGATATGAGACTCCTGTAATCCTTCACACAGTGCAACTGTACAAGGGAGAACATAACAGCTGAGGTGGAAGGTTTACTTTAACAGTAACAAAACTCACCATATATTATGTGCTTCCTGTCCCGCAGGTAACACACCTCTGCTGGGTTCCCGGAGAGTCCGTTGTTGTTCAGACCTCAGAGGATAAAATTGTCCGGTCAGTAACATGTTACATTAATACTCGATGTTTTAGTATATTAATAATGATATAACTTATCTTCATTTTCCAATGTGTCCTATTACAGTCAGAGATCAGTATGTTAATACTGACATAGCATATTGTATAATACAAGTATGATAATTTATTCATTTCGACTTGAATAAATATAAGAGAAACCCATATACAGTATAGTGTCTTATAGGCTGTTTGTACCCTTAAAGGAGCAGAAAAGTGAGGAGGTGCCATAATATCTGCTATGAGCATCTCTTGGCTGAGTACCCTACTGGCTTCTCTGTGTTGCTGTCTCTTTATATCTCTTGCACATTGTAGCGGGAAAATGTCCCCACTATAGTTCTTGGCTCTGTTCCCACCAATCTTGTAGCTTTGTGTGGTCTTTACCACCTTGGGGTCTTCCCACTCCACCTTTTAACATCTTCCATTATGGAAAATAATTGGACTGGGAACTCAGTTGCAGAAAGCTTAAAATCTCATTGCTGGAGTCCTAGAGAGACACGACAAACCATTAGTTGTATTTCTATCCAAAACATTTGTTTTGGATATAGGGGATGGTTAGAGCCCCTGTCAGTTTATTTTCTGTCTTGTTGGGGAGATTTCTCTTCTTTTTTTTCTCCTGGAGACAACAAAAACTAAGAGGCAATTCTATCTTTTGTTACCAGAACAGGTGTCCATGGAAAGATTTCTGCTCACCTCCTGTTGTGGTGACTACTGTAAAATTTTGAACCTATCACTTGCGGTCCCAAAAACAATGGTCACTAGGACAAGAAGAGAGATTGAAACTCTCCATGGGGGGAAACAAACAGCTATAAAGATACGACAGAGGATCAAACCTTTCACCAGTCTTTCAAAAACAAGGTTTGGTTTTAGATCTACTTCACCTCTCCAGCCACTTTTTCAACATTTAAAGCAAACCCGTCTCCATGGTATATAACATTGGCATAGATGGCCCAAAAACATTTATTTTGTTTTCCAGACTAGATGTTCCTGGACCCCCCCATCTTCCTAACTAAATGTCTACTTCCTGAGCATAAGCACCCCACCTTCCCCCATCCCTCAATGCAAAGTTTTAGTCCTCTACCCAAGTGACCTAGAGAGGCCTGGATGGATTAAAGGGGAATCCATTGTTTCATTTATGTATCGAAAAAAACATTGTTTAATGCATTTTAAAATACTAGCTGTACATATTTGTTCAGTTTGTTCCTTTTAATCTCGGATTCATCTCCCCCTATAATCTGAATATAAATTATAGCTGGAAAAAATCATCATGGAGCTAGATAATCCTGGGCCTTCCTTGATCCCTGGGCTTTGTAGCAGTCACTGTGGTTGCAGTTGCTTTTTTGATGCTGGCATATCTTCCACTGATTACCACTCAATACGTTCCTTCTATTTCTCTCACTCCCTCCAGTGTCTGGGACATCCGTAACCTTCAGGTAGCGCACATGTTCCCAATGAAGCAGTACATACAGATGCACTGTGATGTCAGCGAAGATGGAAATTACTGCCTGACCAGCAGCAATGGCTTTGGTGGACAAGGCTGTGAAGCTACGGTGAGAGATCAGCTGGTGCTCTTGTCCAGCTACATATAACTTGAATCATTTTAAACTGAAACTTTACAATAAAATAAAGGCAGAGTCAATGTACCATTTAGTGTGCTCGTCTGCCTAAGGAAATGTTAATGAAAAATGTACTTTTTTCTGTAAAATGGAATCCTAGAAGATATGACGCCTGGCCATGTGAATAGAGCCAAGGCATTAGCTACAATGCCACTGCCAAAGACTCTTTTCAGAACATCTTGTGTAATGCAGAATTAATTCTAAAATAAGCGTGCCTTTATCTTTTAAAAACTGATTGGCTGTAAAAAGCTTATGGAAGCTGTATTTGAATCCTCAGTTTGTTACATCTGCCAGGCAAATAAAAACCTGGCTCCCATGATAGAATAGGACTTTGTTCTTTTAAGCTGTACATTGAGACACCACGATTTAGTAGAAGGGCTGGGCACAAATACATACTGAATGAGGGTATCATGTACTAATCTAAATATTGCTTGGTTTTCCATTGCAAGCAAAGAAGTTGGTAGACCTGATTGGTCATGTTTATTGAGTTTATGGGTGCCTTTGTTTAAACATTACTATAATAACAGAAATGGCAGCCATTGGGGTCTATGTCTTTACCAGCACCATAGATGGGAAAACACAGTCACCCGCTAGATTGGGTGATGTCCAACAATGGCTTCCTGTGGAGAGATAGTTTGACAGGTTAGAAAACCTGTTCTGATCCCCCCCCATAATCCCATAAATATGAAGACTTGACATTAGGCAGTTGTTCAGCAATGGTTATGTATGCAGCATTTTTTAGGAAGGAGAACTTTGTGGTATTTATAGATATGAGATTATAGATAATTGTTATGCAGTTTTGGCAACATTGTGCAACAGTTTCATGCCAGTGGATGTGACACCTTGCAGACGCAGGCAAGAGATCCAGGAGCAAATAAAGGTGGGGTGGCCTAGAAAACCTTATCCACTCGCTATTGTTTTCCAATGATAAGCCAAAGAAGAGGTGTTTGCGTGTATTCCCTTCTGCCTGCTCCATAACAAATATGAGCACTTGGATTTGAACACATGTTCAGAGATGTGATTTGAACACATGTTCAGAGATATGATTTGAACACATGTTCAGAGATGTGATTTGAACACATGTTCAGAGATATGATTTGAACACAGAGGGCATTGCGGCCGGAGGGCATGGCTGCGGTGCCATTCACTTCAACACATCACCACACCCCCTCCCACCCCACAACAAACTGAGCCGGCCGCAATGTGATCCGGTGCATTCCGGCCACAATAGCGCCGGAAAGCACTGAGGATGGTGTGAAGGAGGCTTTAGAAGTCTTAGCTGTGCAGCCCCTTAACTATACTGTCAGATCCCACTCAAGCCAATAGCCTACCTGCTTCTGGCTCTTCAGGTGTGGTCCCAACGTGCTTGATGCTGCAGACTGGAGCGGGTCAGAGGTGTCCAAAGTTACGGGCGGGGAGGGGCCAGTCAAACGTGCACACTGAGGAGAGGGAGGAGCAGCCGATGCCACTACGTGCGGGAGGCAATGATTATTGGACGCTGACGAAGACGGAGGGGCGGGCCGAGTGTGTGGACAAAGTGTGTCAGTGTCTGTGCGGGTAGAGACGGCCACTTACGCTATGTGCGGTAGGAAAGGTTATTGGCCGCTTCAGACAGGAGGGGAGAGACGAATGTGTCGGATGCTTAAGCGTTTGACACATTCGGGTACACGGAGCGTGGGACGGGGAGTCGACCCGCGATCTACCAGCGATAGCTTTGCGATCGACCTTATGGGCACCCCTGTTTTAGACGATAGGGAACAGTGCCACAGCCTTTAGGGCCCAATCTGAAGAAGTGACTTTGCTGCACTGAAATCGCTAGGAATGTTGTCAGCCCTGCCCATCTTTGTTTTTTTGAGCTACAAAACACCTGCCCCTCCCATAACATAGTGGAAGGTATTCTGTAGTTCACTGGGAAAACTAAAGGAGTGATTAGATTCCTTGATATTACACAGACAGATTGCACAGGAAGTTGTCAGCTCACAAGATTTCTGGCAGATCCATAGATATTTATTTGCACTTATAGAATAGATAACAAAGTGCTAAATTGTATATGTAAATAAGGGAAAGGGAGCACATCACAGAAGTTTCCATATTTTTTGTCAGTAAAATGGGTCAAAGAGCAGAGTGGACCAGAAAAATGTTGGAATTTCTTTCCCTTTTTTGGCTTACTTTTACTGTGTTACCCTGGCCACACACGTGTTACAGTCCAATTATACAGACTCCGTTTAGTTTACCAACAGCTATGTAGTGTAACCTGATTGAATATACATTGAGGAGATTGTTTAGGTAGCCCCCCACCTATAATCATTGGTAATTCCAAATAACATTGTACAGCCAGGTTGTAACTTGTGGCTGGCTTCAGCATTAGTTTTCCAGAATTCTATTAAGGAACACAATTGCTTCAAATTTCAATTAGTGATACTTGCACTCTTTTTTTTTCCAGTTATGGGACCTCCGACAGACAAAAGACAAGGTGTGTGAATATAAGGGGCACCTGCAGAGCACCACATCTTGTGTCTTTCTTGCAAAAAACACGTGGGACACCCCACTAGTGGCCACTGCATCTCATGACTGCACAGTGAAAATCTGGGAACGAGACACTGGAGGTAAGTATTGCATGACATTTAATATATGGTTATAATGGCCATTAACTGATTAAGATGCAGATACCAGTTTATCTTTTGGAGAGAAATCCTCAATTGCAAACTACTAGTACCATCATCTGAAAATGCAGCCTATCCATTAAGAGATTTTCTACATCACTGAGATTGCATCCCTATCTATTTATTAGGGGCCTGTGGCATCATTAAAATGAACCCTATCCTTTCCTTAAAGACTAGTGACAGCACTGATTATGCAGCCTATCTATATACTAGAGACTGGTGACATCACTGAGAATACAGCCTATCCATTCACTAGAGACCACTGACATGGCTGAGAACGCAGCCTATCCATTCACTATGGACCGGTGACATCACTGAGAATGCAGCCTATCCATTCACTAGTGACCAGTGACATCACTGAGAATACCACCTATCCGTTTTCTATAGACCAGTGACATCACTGAAAATTCAGCCTATCCCTTCACTAGAGACAAGTAACATCACTGAGAATGCAGCCTATCCTTTCACTAGAGACCAGTAACATCACTGAGAATACAGCCTATCCATTCACTAGAGACTGGTGACATCACTGAGAATACAGCCTATCCATTCACTAGAGACCGGTGACATCACTGAGAATACAGCCTATCCAGTCACTAGAGACCAGTGACATCACTGAGAATGCCTCCTACCCATTCACTAGAGACCAGTGACATTAGAGAGAATGCAGCCTATCCACTGAGTAGAGTCTGAATGCAGCACTGAGAATGCACACTACAGTATCTAGTTATTGGAGATTCTAGAGGTCATTAGGACACTCTGTTATGTGTTTTTGTTCCTTATATTTTTTGATCAGCAGATGCTCTTCAAAGTAGAATATGATTACATCTGTTACAAAAAACTGCTAAAAAAATGTTCCCCTTTCTTTTTTGTCTTCTACATTAAGCATGTCTGAGCAGCCTGTGCTTGGATGGCTCTGGGCCATTATCCTCCCTGGCAGTCTGTGATGACTCTTCCATCTTAGTCGCCAGCTTTAACTCAGGAATCCACTCCCTCCGTATGCAGAGCAGCCTGGGAGCCACACTACAGCAACTCATCAGCTTCTGATGTCAGACTACTCTACCTTCATCAAAGACCAATGCCTCATAGTACACAAGTGTCAAGGGATGGGGCTGGAGGGTGGTCCTACCAACTTTCTGGTTTTCATTGTACAAAACTGACAGTATTGCCAGCAAGTTAAACCAAGTATGGTGAATGCATGGGTTACCAAAATACACTGTTGTCCACATGACCACGTGGAGTACACTGTAAAAGCCTTCGCCCAGGATTATAGAATGGCTGAAAGATTAACCTACAAACCTGCAGACTTGAAAAGTTGGATCACTGGATGCTTTACTAGAGTCATTTGGTCCAGAGCCTAATCATGGCCTAGATACTATTCTAGAATCTTTAGCTTGAGGACCTTGTTTAGGGGTAAATCATTTAGTGGCTACTGCTGGTTTAGGCCTTATATACAGTAGGTGTAGATCCTTTTCTGGTAACTTTTTGTTCCCACCTTATCTATTCATTAATCTCATTCTGCAATCTTTAGTTCCAGGCATAACACAGGCATTTATCATTTTCTGGAATCTTTTGGTTCCAGGCCTAAGCTAGGCTTAGATCCTTTTGGTTCCAATTCTAACCTAGGTATAGATCCGTTTCTGAAATCTCTTGGTTCTAGGCCTAACCCAGACATAACCTCTTTTCTTGAATCTTTTGGTTTCCAGCCTAAGCAAGGTGTAGATATTTTTTCGCTGGCCTAACCCAGGCTTAGATGCTTTTCTGGAATCTTGGTTCTAGGCCTAACGTAGGCTTGGATCCTTTTCTGGAATCTTGGTTCTCGGCCTAACCTAGGCTTAGATCCTTTTCTGGAATCTTGGTTTTCGGCCTAACCTAGGCATAGATCCTTTTCTGAAATGTTATGGTTCCAAGCCTATCCTAGGCATAGATCCTTTTCTGAAAATGTATGGTTCCAAGCCTAACCTAGGCAGAGATCCTTTTCTGGAATCTTTTGGTTCCAGGCCTAACCTAGGCATTGATCCTTTTCTGAAAATGTATGGTTCCAAGCCTAACCTAGGCAGAGATCCTTTTCTGGAATCTTTTGGTTCCAAGCCTAACCTAGGCAGAGATCCTTTTCTGGAATCTTTTGGTTCCAGGCCTAAGCTAGGCTTAGATCCTTTTGGTTCCAATTCTAACCTAGGTATAGATCCTTTTCTGAAATCTCTCTCAGTTGCTGTATACGAACACAAAAACATACATTTTGTTAGCTGTCCTCTTCGTCTCCTCGAAATGGCCGCCTCCGTGCTTTCCAAACACTTTGTGTAAATTACAGGCTGCCCTGCACAGTGGGAACTACAATGTAGGGGGATGGAAAACTACATTTCCCAAATGCTATGCTTCTCTCATGCACAAGCTTCTCTGTTTTCTCCCCATTCATTAATATTTATAGTGACAACACCCCTTGGACAGTGCAGAGTGACCTGGGGGGCTGAGCTGGTGTGCAGTGATCTTGTTACAATTGCCTCACATGGAGGGGGTTCAGCTGCTTTACCACCTGTACAAGACAATCTGACCCCAATGTTAGATTGAGTTTCCTGTGGAGTGAATTATGAATTTATAGGACTCAGGCCCACTAAAAAGTCCATAGAAAATGTAAAAAGCCAGCAATGTGAGTCATGAAAATATACACACATATACTGTACATCCATACTGTATCTCTACATTACTGCAATAAATGCTAATCACTTACAAACGTGGAAATGGGCTTTGAAGTGACAGTAAACTCAGGACGTAAATCTTAAATATGCATTCAAGTACTTTTAAATATTAACAAAAATGTATCTTATTTGTGTATCACTCGGCTGTAGATCGTCAAATCAACTCTGAATTGGTGCTGACACTGTCCTTCCTTCTGGAGGGTGGCTACTTTTGTTCCCCATGGAGCCTGTGTGTTTTGTAAAGTAGTCACCGCTCCAAGCTCGCTGATAGACTACAATCTCAATACAAATGAGTAAACCAAACATGAGATTGTAATCCATCCTGGGCTTGGAGCGGTGACTACATTATACCACTCACAGGGACCATGGGGAACAAAAGTAGCCACCCTCCAGAAGGAAGGACAGTGTCAGCACCAATCCAGAAATGATTTGAGGATCTACAGCTGAGTGATACACAAATAAGATACATTTTGTTACCATTTCGGGTACTTGAATGTATTTTTTAAGGGTTAACTCCTGAGTTTAGTGTCTCTTTAAGGTTTCTTTGACAGAACTTGAGTAATGAACTTGATATTTTACCTTGCCTTATATTATAAGGCAGAGAACAATGATGATGTGCAAAATGCAGTAACCCACAGTAACCAAAGTTTTCTTTTCTTCAATGTAAAGCCACCAGAGCAGCCATATACTGTATACAGGCAGATAGCTTGCTATGGGTTACTGCTGGTATGACCTTATGGGATGGGGTAGAGAGCTCATAACATTACAAAAATCTGTTAGGTGTGTCGGCCAATGAATGTAAAATACCAGTTTTAGGTGCAGTTGGCCTTTTAAAAACAGATTGGATTAGCCAAACCAGCCAGACCCTCCAATCTGTCCTGTCACGTGTGACTTCTAAATAGACAGAAGATTTGTAGCACTGCCTCTATGGTTATTGTATTTGACAGATGCACTTAGACTTGGCCATGTCATTTTATAGTTGCACTTGATAGATTTTTATGGAAATAGGGAAGATTTTTACTTTTCTGTTACTGTTAATTGGCAGATTTTTAAGTCTGTGTGTTGTTTTGTAGAAACTGTGACCATAAGTATTTTTATACAGACTAGTTTGATATCACATGCCAATGATTGTCACATACAGTATTGCTATGTATGTTAAAGAAATGCATGGGCGGCCATTTTTACTTTCTCTGAAAATACTAACTGCCTGGCTTTCTCTGCCTTCAGTATTTTCCATCTCTTCCTGGAGCAAATATGAAGGCAGTGAAATCAGAACTCCTGGTGTGCATACTTCTTCCGAGTCAGTGACTGAGAACATTAAAAAAACAGGCGTTCAGCATGAAAGCCAAGCATGTGGAATGTTTAGAACGGGAGATGGGCAGTGGCTGCCTCCATATTTTTCGTGGGGTTTCTTTGTCCTGTTGCATCAGTAGTTCCATTTAAGACCACAAGATGGTAATGGTGAGCTTTTGCATTGCGGGGTGATGTTACTATTCATCTTCCTTAGTAGAATGTGTATCATTGTAACTTTCATATGCCATGTTGTAGATATAAAGTCCATGTGAAATGTAATGGCTTGTTCTTGTTTTTATTACACACCGTTAACATGTGGCACATCATTAGTCACTACAAAAATGGTGAGGTGCCAGCAACAGAAAATGATGGTAAGTATCAGAAAGCAATTTCCTGGTTTATAATTGAAAATGTCTTCATCTGCCAAGGTAAGGTGTACTTCTGTTAGGCCAGTCTTGTGAGTTACACACCTCTGCTGCTTTCCATGGCCAGGCTGGTGAGCTGGTGACACCACTGTTTCCTAGTTTTGGTTTTCTGCTTCCCGTGTCACCTTCGCTTCCATCCTGATTACTAGACGATGAATCGGCACCATCACCTTTGTCCAATGAGCAGTCAGGTGACACAGGAAGTTGTTTTGGGTGACAGATCCCCGTTACCCATAGTTGTCTATGGAATGCTTACATTGCTAACACTTTGTGGAACAGCTTTATTTGAAGATAAACACTATTGTAGTTTCAGCCAGATCATATTTTGAGTCATTATTGTAATATTTGCCTGAAAGTAACTTTTGACGTAACTTTCATATTTTTATTTGGTTGGTGTTTCATATTCTGGTATTTGCAGACTGGGAAAGTATAACTATGACGTTTATGGTGAGAAGGTACTAAAGGAACCAAAAAGCTTTCCAAAGGAATCCGTGCATAGCACAATAGAACCTTGTGAGAACAGAAGGTATTCATGTCCCATTCCATCACAAATCCCAAAAATCAGGGGATCATTCCTCATTGCAGGACAGTGGGCGGAGCCATGCCAATCATTCTTTTATGCCCCGGAGAGCCAACTGCACATCCAGAACCGCTGGAGTATAGTGCAGATACAGCTGTTTATTCCAAACTGCATACAGCTGGTTCAGGCTTTGTGCCCATTGTCAGTGTAGTGTGTTTACAGTTTGGGAAATACTCCCTCTAATGATTATCTGGATGCAAGAAATGTGGTTTCACAAAGAGAATCCATTGTGCTCAGTCAGGGCAGACCAGTCACACAGAATCATATTAGTGTGAACCTATACTTTGCCCATTCGTGGTGTGTCAGGGGTGATTTACTATATCCCATATCCAATGATCATATTTCTTTTCCCTGATGGGTAAAGTACAGGTTTGTTTTTAGGTAGATCTCAACCAAATTACTAAAATATAATACAAGCACAATACAAACACTAACATGTGAAAGAGTATCTATGGTCAAAAACTAAAAATATATATGTATTTCTATATTGAAGTTCCATAAGTTCTATCCCGCTCCTAATAACCATATCAATCTAGATGTTTGTAAACTTACTTATTGATGATACCCATAGTATGTGCTGACAATGTCACTCAGCCCTGTGAACATGCAGTTCCTTGGGTCACAACTCTCAAGAACCTGCCTTCTGAAATACAGCTCAGTGCCTGAACAATGTAACGTTATCATTGCTTGCTGAAAGCAATACATGATGGAATATGTAGTATTAAAAAATGAATATTGCATCACATTAAGTAGCAGAGAACGAGACGCAAAGCACACTGGGAATCCAGGAAGTTGATGAAAGTGATGGACAGACAGAAGGCAGCACTCATTACATAAAATTGATTTTTTTCATGTAAGCTTTGATTGTATCAATAACAACTACAGTATGTATTCCTTTCACAATGCTGATGTTCTAACAGAATATTATATTCTGGGACTTTACAATTCCTTTAATGTAATTTAAGAATTATTTTTCATTCTGTGTCGACAAGATTTATGTCAGAGGAGTTTTGAATGCCCATACAAAACTATGGGAATGCAAACCCCATTTGAAGCAGGCCAAATATAGGTCAGAAAAAGGTCAACTGATGGTCAAGTACACCTGTCACTAAGTTCTGATCTGATTGAAACTGATGCCATCGGCCCAAGCCTAAAGGCTGTCAACTCGGCCCTAAATCTGTAGGTTTGAATTAAAAAATACAGGCACTTCCTATCATGTAGTGTCCCCTATCACATGCACACCTGGTGGACACTACAAGCGACTGTGCTGACACAAACTCTGTAGACATAGTTCAACGTTGGAAGCCCATAATTGGGATGGCAGTGCCATAGGCTCTAATGAACCCCAATGGTTCACAACTGATATGGTCCAGAAAC